TTTTGGGTTCATTGAGAACATGGTTGTTGTTCAATAATAAAATTATTCCTCAAAAATACAACTTGCCTAATAATTCTGCACTCCCTGTATTGTTAGATTTATTGGAACCACAGGAGTGGTTCAGTGCACATACACTAATAAGTTGTAAATATGGAAAAATGTCCAGCAGTAGTAAATAAAATTTTGCCACTGTCACGGAGGAATGTAATACATTTTTGCAAAACTAAAGGCATGGAGAACGGTTATAAGTATAAACATGTTACATTTATAGGAGTGACAATATCATTCTGTGAGGACACATAACAATGTCCTGATTTTTTAAATCTGTGCATTAGAAATGCAGGAATTCCAGGGAAGATGAATGTGAGTGTAAAAAATGTCACTTCCTGTTAGGGACATATCTTACCAAGTGTAGCAAGGATCCCCCAGAGGAAATGGGAGTGTTGGGGTCAACACCTTCTTTCAGGAGGCGCAACACTGCAACACACCAAACATCCATATGTTAGCACCTGCTGTTTGCGAGGACAGGCAGCGTGCTTAAGGCAAGCACAGTAGACACATACGCAAACACAGGCATCACTATCAAAACCGATGTGTGTCGAGTGAATGTCCTCTGACTGTCCTTGTTACGTCAGTGCGGATCAGTGTTAAGTTGTGCGTGCATGTTTGGTAACCCCTGTTTTCTGACCTGCTGCTGGGGCAACAGCGAGCCACGCAACCCAATAACACACTGACACAGATCGACTAAAGGAAACATAAACCATTACAAACAAGCTGACACAGTCAGACATAAACAGATAAGCAGACATGGTTAACACAGATAAGCAGGGTCCCAAGATTTTGCTATAAATTTGATGTGTTTTTAAAGAAATAAATGTGAAAGTAGCAGCACACAGTGACAGAGCGAGAGCGACAGGACACTGGGGTGTGCGACAGATGAATAGAGACTGATAGTCAAACAAGAAAGGCAGGTGGAGCACTGTAGTTTGGACACATGTGAATTCAGTGACACTGACAGCACTAGACGGCTGCTGACTGAACCGAGGAAGACCTCATACCAACACTGTCACACAATCCCACCACATATGCCACATACACAAACGCATACAGTCTGTTGCATTAGCACATACATGAACATCCACACAGAGCCATGGAAAAATATTACACTTTAAAGTTTTTGCTAAAATCTAAAGGAAAGGATCTGTTAAACATTACTGTCTTAAATTTTACTAGCATTGCAAATGGATTCACCTGCGATAAATTTTGATGTTTGAAGTGTGCATCGTGCATTTACACACCATCCACAACTACAGTATATGTTAACGAACTAAAACACCAAATCAGAAATCAGGGAACAATTAACAATGAGCTGGTTGGCAATAAAAATTCTGAATTATCTTCAGATATTAAGCAAAGTAAAAAAAAATCTCAATAATTTAAACATTTATCAATCTAACGTAATATGATGTATGGTTTGGACATGGCAGACCTGAAAACAAGATTAGAAATGAGTATATGAGAGTGACAACTTAGGCTGAGCAGTTTGAAGACAAAGTTAAAGGCTGAGATCATTTGGGACACATACAGAGCAGGGATAGTGGATATATTGAGAAAAGCATTCTGCCCATGGAGTCGTCAGAAAGGAGGAAAAGACGACTGCAGGAAAGGTTGATGGATGTAACGCAGGAGGACATGCAGGGGGTTGGTGTGCAGAGGGTTCATGTGTTGGTATAAGAAAGGGGAAAGGGTGAGACGGAAGAAGAGGATATTCACTAATCACTTGGTTGGCCTATCATTGTAGAGGCACATGCACACATATCAAGCAAGCCAGACATTATACAAAGAATGTTTTTCCATTCGTCTCATGGCTGCAGTGCTTAATAGCATTTAAGTGGTGGATGAGTAATAAACAGACCAGTGCTGGATCCAATCAGCATAATTATCTCCTCAAGTCTCCATATGCTGTGGAGACACAAGACTGTAAAACATCAATTAAAGTACATCTAAAGCTGAATTAGTTACGGGGGAATTGATAATGTTCCTGCTTTCTTGTCTATTAAACAATATATCACAACTCATCAGTGAACTCAGAAGGGCAGTTTTTAAGAATGTAAAGCATCTTGTGATTCACAAATGGTAAAAGTTGGTATATTGAAGGTTGGTATATTTTCCTGGTTAGGATAAACTCGGGTTTTAAAATGACCCAACTGATGGAGTTAGTTAGTAAGGAGCTTTCATTCAACCTGCCTGGATTTTATGGCCCACAGCTGCAGACAGATCAAGGGTCAAGTGGTTCATAATGTCATCAAGTAGCAAATGGGGAAAAAATGTTTGTCTGACAATATGGCCATCGGGAATCAATAGTACTGTTGCACGCGTGTCCATCTGTTGTGTGCATTAGTAGTAAAGCTGCCAGCTATGCTAAATATCACTAATATTGAAGGCTTTCATTTAAAAATGCTTTGTGTGTCTTATGATCCCAAACATATTTTGTATTATACCTTTATGTAGCTTAGATTAAGATAACACTTATTATTTATTATTGTAATTTGCACTGCTTTCTTACAATGTCAGTCTTACTTTCGCTGTTTTTTTTTAACTAACTTTATTTGTACTTTTTTTTTGCTTTTGATCATTGCTGTATTTATCTCCATAGCATAAGGCTCTTACCAGGTGCCTTTGGCACTTTAACTTAACTGATGTTTATTGCAGACTGTACTATTTTTATACTTTATACTTTATAATGCTGCTGTAACACAACAATTTCCCTTGTAGGATCAATAAAGTATCTATCTATCTATCTATGAACACTGAAACAAGTTTTGCTTCCTGTAGGCAATATTCCTGTCAAGTCAAACTAGGGGCATCCAATTATCCCTGTCTAACGTACGTCAAATAATGGAAGACAATAGCAAACAAAATCCCAAGACTTTGTTCTCAGCATAAACATGGTATAATCCAAAGTTCAGATAAAGTTTATACAGAACGTCAGAAGCCTGATTTAGACAGCTCAGGTAGGTGTCACCCAAAGTTTGATTCTTTTTAGTGCAACATTCCCTCTTTGTGTCACTAAGTCTTTACAATAACTAAGTGCAGAAAAAGTAGGCAGGGGAAAGTCAAATTTAATACCATGAGCTTCCAAAAAAACCTGAATGTATTGAATTTTATCCCCCGTTTGTTCCTATGGAATCATCTTTACAAAGGATCTGTCAAAGTCCTGCATACACAGAAGTAACGATTAACACAAGCAAAGTTTATTGAAGAAAGATGAAACAGTGTGAATCCATAGTTTAAATCATGGCTTGACAGACTAAATTAGTTCTCCATAACTCTATAATCCCAATAAGGTAATGGGATTTCAACTAAAAAAGGAGAAAGCCATTTGTCAAGTCAATAGCAAAAGGGATGCATTACACTGTTTGTCTTAAAGCTACTAACGACAAGCTGTTTTACATTATGAGGTGATGCCACATTATCACGTAACTAAAATGCAAAAGGAACCCTGGAGTTGTGGCAGCTAGATATTTATCTCACAGCACAGCCACAACATTAACTGTCTTTATATATTTATTAATTTTTATATGTGAGTCGGTGTATGTAAGTGTGCCACCCTTCAATCAGGCAGTGAAATGAAGAGTGCGCAAAAACTAAAGTCAACTATCTTTTCTGGACAACCACAAAACAGCTGTTCAAGACGTATGTGCAGTTTCCATGGCAACCACATAGGACCTGATAGAAAAAGAGTAAGCACGACAGAGAGAGAAGAGAAAGATGAGAGAGAAATCTAAATTAGCTACAGATTGACAGGTGGACATGAATAGAGCATTATGACCTTGATAACTACTCAGATTCTTAAAAGCCAAACCTGTGACATCTTATTGGCCTTCTTCTTCTTCCATGGAAAAAATACTTCACAGCTACATCCCTACAGTAAGATATTATAAATACAGCTACATCCAATACATAAAACTGTACATGAAGTTAATCAGTAACTCTCCTGAAAATCCATGCTTTCATTTAGATATTAACTCATGCTTGTGTTCAGCACCTTCAGGACCTTTTGCCTACACAGTATATTGCAAATTATGTGCAGTTCACTGTTAAAAAAGCAGTTCTCCACTCAGGAAAATTTGATTTACATATTGTTGAACTGGAAATGCTTGAAATAGATACAATGCCTCACGCTGACTGTTGTGCAGATACAGTGCAAGGTTGGATGTACTTTTCTCATGGCTCTCTTTTCAATTCTGTGGCTCTTCTTTCTCTTGCTGCACCCTGACATTCTATGAATCTGATCAAATCTCTGTAATGTGCGCTCCATAATGTGCCACTTACATCAGCATTGCCAATTTTCTTCGTATGGCAACCAGACACATTCTTCTCATGCAAACTATCATTCCTTGGCAGCCCTATATGAGATTACGTTCAAATCCCTTACTCTTATAAATGCGTCTGTCTCTTGGGTCCTTATCACAGAGTCATGATCACAAACGGGGGGCCGTCTCACCTCACTGCCCCATGTTTTTGAAATGAGTTTTTCATTCCTCCTTTGTTTCATTCATGATGGAAAAACACAAGTGTAGAGTTTTCAAATAGATAATGAGTCTTGTAAGAGGGAACAGGGAACCACTGCCTACTTATCCCCAGAAAAGGCCATGTAATGGAATTCAGCTTCTGTAACCATGTAATAAATGCCACCAAAGGGGGGCAATGCACGCTCACAGTATTTGAAGTATTTAATAGACAAAACCCCTCCATAAATGTTGACTTGCAACTTTGTTTAAGTTGCATCCTCCAGTGAAAGAAACACATTACTCTAAAAGACAACTCTCAGACAAATGGTGCTGGTGCATATTTTATCTCGCTTTCTTTTTTCTACAATGAAGCACTGGAATTCTCCTCGTAAAATCATGCCTGCAAAAAGAAAAAAAAGAAAAACTGAAATTGCTTATTTGTGACAGTAAAGGGAAAGTGGGACCGCAAATTGAATGTGAATGCATTTTAATCCGGTTTTACAGCCGGCCATTTTAGGGGAAACTGTCATTATGTGTACTTCTCTTCCTTTGTGTAATTTTAATTAAAATACTCAAACGTAGAAAAAAAACATCTAAATTAAATTCCATCTTCAAACCGAGCACAACTGTAAAAAATGACTTCATAACATTCACATCCTTTGCTCATTTTACCTGTCTGGACACTCATGACTCATCAAATGAAGGATACATTTAATATTAGAAGGTCGGAGAAGTATGAATTCCAGTGTAAAGTTTCATTGCAATATGACAAAAGTTGTCATTAAAGCACATTTATGAAGGATGGCAAAAAAAAGGGCTTCTTTTTCTATCAGCTCTGTGGGCCTAGGCCCTGTTCTGTCAAAAACATGACAGATGTCTGACACCCTTTTAATCCCAGTGTGGTGCACTGAGGGAGCTATCAAGTGATGTTCCCTAACATCCCTAACATATTTACTTATTTTTCTTCCCCTTTGGTTAAGTTTCACCACCTAGGGGAGATTATATATAGATGGAAGGCTAACAGAACAGAGCTAAGTGTCTGAAACTTCCCATAAGACTACACTACACATCACAGTGACTTCAACTGTGGTCCAGCACATCCGGCACACAGTATCTAATGATAACAGATGGATATAGTTATGATTATGGATATAACAGAGAATTCCTTTGAGTTAAAATGTATTTCGTGGGCAGTGTCAAGTGGATTCCTTAAACTTTGTATTGAAGCTTTTGCTTCACTGACAAAAACACATGGTGTTTAGTACTTTAGGTGTGATATGTTTCTAAGGAGTGCTCCAAAACACTCCACATGACTGGAAGCTTTTATTACCTCCACTTTCCCGACTTCCTCACTGTGGAGAAGTGATTGCACTATGAGTCCCTGTGCTGTGCCTGCAGGATGGATCTATACACATTGATCAATAATGAAAGATGGCCATTCAGACACACTTCACACAGTAATTACACTTCCATATAGTGCACACTGAACAGACACGCAGCACAGGCACAAGGGAAACACGCTCGCCCACTGGTGCAGAGACCGATCCAAATAACAATATTTCTGACTTGAGTTGGAGTCCCCACTGAGGGGACTGTGAATGCATACGGTTGCATAATACAGGTAATCTTTACTGCCAGCAGGAGAAAAGTAGGTTTGACCCGAGGTCTGCGGCAGCTAAAAAGGCCAGGATACAAGAGACACTAAAGGATCATGAGGCTATGAATGTCTTAAATGACAAGCCATTAAACAGTACTGGTCTAAAGAATGGATGTTCTAAAGCAGAGCTGCAGGCTTCACACATACACATGCATGCAAAACAACAATAATCATTAGAAAACAGCAAATTGTTCTAACACAACAAAGTACTTGTGATTTTCTGTGTAAGATCTGATATATGAATGGGGTGCACAGTGCAAAACTGGAGCTCATGAGATTTCGGTTTTTAAAGGAAGTGCTTCAAAGAAAGATGCGGATACAGTCCACAGGTGTCTTAAGATGAGTTTTGGAATTGTACCAATCAAAAAGAGGTACCAAAAACCTCTCAAGATTTGATAACCAAAGTTGGAGAAACCAGCACAAAATGTCATTAAATAACATTTTTGGAGAGTTAAGACATGGTAAATATTAATAGTAGGTTCCATGGTTACGAAGCAACAGCTTCATATTCTGATGATTGGTTTAAAAAAAAAGAAGCAGTTTCACCAAATGTCAAAACACAAGCGAGCCAGATGTTTGCATATGACAGATAAACCCGTGAACGAAGATGACGTGCAGTATTCTCAGATCTACAGCTAGAGCTGTGTGTCCGTGCTATATCTAACCTTAACCCTGCGATATCCTTCGTAATCCAAAAGCATATTTGCTGCTGTTATTTAGCTTCATCCATTTTCCAATGTTCCCTTTTCTCAGTGTGTTTGCCCTTCCCTCTTCTCTCTCCCTCATCTTACTTCCTGTACAAGACGAATGATAAGAAAAACAAAATCCTTTTGTGACTGCGTGTGTGTAGACTGTGTGCGCATCTCTTATTATCTGGCTGTCGTGTCAGCAGACAAAGTTTCCGCACCTCGTGCCTCGATTTTTTTAATTTTATTTTTTAGTTAAGGCTGAGTCTTATTTGCTAATCTCTCTTTTTGTGTCTTTTTCAGTCACAGCTTCTTAAAGAGCTATGAGTCACCTAAACATCTTTAATTATTTTTCAATAATCATCACCGTCTGAAGCAGACGGCGCTGACAAATTAAGTTGAGATATTTAAATGTATTCAAGATAACAGACATTTTAAAGATACAAGTGTATCTTTAACAACTATATCACTTGAGCTTACTCTAGAAGGGATCCATGAAATGATAGCTTAATCGTAATGCTGAAAGCATAACATAATTAAAATATTGGCTTTTTTTGGCAGTCATACAGTATATGATCTACTGCTTAAATGGTGACTGTGTTTAAACCCCAACAACAGCTTTTTGGAAATCAGCCAGGCATGATAAACATAGCTATAGTTCCAGTATAGAGCATGAAACTGATGTGCGGCACACAGAGTTCATAGCTATTGCTAATTTCTAACCCTAAGTGTAAGTTTGCCAGTGCCAAATATGTTCCCACATTACTCTGGGACAGTCCTGGCCTGAAGCAAATCCTATCTCTCTTTACAAAAAAGGCTAACACAAGCAGAGATAGTGAGAAAAACGTATCACTTCGAGCACCAGCACCACTGAAGAATACTAAAGAAGAGGCATTGTCAGGATATACAGTACTGAGTGCTGATGGATCCAACTTCCAAGTGTTAACTCTAAGTGGTTTGGACAGATCCTTACGCAGAGGCACTGACCCAAAAGAACCAGACAAGCTAGCATAAAAAGAACAGCTGATGAATCTTTAAGGCAGTATTTTTCTTCAAAGATAAAGATATGAAGTGTTCCCTTATCTACAGACGCCTCTGCATGAATCTACTATTTTGTTTCATTTGGAGCCAGTTCTTGTTTTGAGCACCAAATGGTCACAAAGCCCTCACATAGCAAGACAAACGGCGGCCTGGTACCACTTGAGCACCATGGTGGGGCTTAGGTGATTAGGCAGAGGAGTATGCGATCCATGCCAAGCCAGTGAACCCTGTTTTCAGGTTGGCTTTAGCAGTGGCACACCAGCTGCTCCCACAGACCCCAGCTGAATCTTACTGGCAGCCAGGGAGCAGAGATTAACACAGTGACCTGCAAAGTCTGCCGGAAGGACTGACGGAGATATGCTCAGACAGATGTGTCGGTGACTGGCAAGTGACTGTCATAGACAAAAAGAAAAATGGTAAGGTTGGACAAAAAGATGTGCCTTTTGGAGTAAAATGTGAATACCCTTTAAATTTCAAGAGGCTTGTTTTGTGACAGAATGATGTCAGCATCAGAAGTTAGTGTGTTTTTATTGTCTGAGGAAAGCTTGCAGACTCCTTTTTCTCTGGCTGGTAACAGATAAATAAACACACACACAGACAGGAACAAAGAAACATTCTCAGACACAGAAACCGACACAGGAGGGCAGACAACGGCGCTTTTCGCCGACATCAGTAAAATCACAGTCATTCTGAAGCCAAAAGAAAGTGTTTTTAACCATTTTTAAATGCTTTAATGGACTATTAACTATCAGCCAATCAAACAGCCGTATCACATGTTCTTTCTTTATCTGTTGAAGAACATTCTTAAGTCATCTAGCTCTCTGTCAGTGTCACTGAACAGCATATGTAGGTGGGATTGTTTTCAATACTTTGCTCTCAAAATCAGGTATTGCCATCTCTGCTACCCTCTTGTCACCCTCGTGTTAACCAGAAGCAGACACGCCCACTCGCAGAAAAATCCGAACACACACCTTCTTTGTCGTTGTGATGAACGATGGCATCCTGTATAATATCGGCGGGCCTGAAGCGGACGTGGTGCTTCTTGCGGTGCGTGGGCAGGGCTCGAACCTTGACTCCACCTTGCTGGCGCTGAAGGCTCTTTTCTCTCTCATAGTACGCCCTTATTTGTTCACAGCGCATCCTCCTGACCAGCCTTTGGCGCTGGCCAATGGGAAGAGACTCCAGCAGACACTGGTCTATCTCCATGTTCTGGCGAAAGACGTTACATAGCTGGAAGCAACCTAGAGACAAAGAGAGAAAGCCAGAAACAGCAAAATAACATTAGTAATGTTTTATCTCAAAAAAATTATGTTGCGTCATTTGTCTTTTTTTTTTTTACATAAGATTTGTTTTTATTCAAGTTTTGAATGCAAGCTGTCCATGCTTCAGTGAGGAGGACAATCTGGTGAATGAGTGAAAACACTATCCCGCTAAACATGTCCTATTGGTGCTGGTGTGGGCCCACTGTGGAGGGCCCCAGACACCCCACACAAAAGTGCCCACATGGGCCCCACATGGGTAAGTCTGCCATGATAGTTTACACAGTAAATAAGAGAATGCTCTCTGATTAAAAACAGAAACAAATTTACCTAAAGATGCAGCCGTGCATGTCATTTACTTTAAGTCTTGTTCCTGACAAGCAGAGATTTGCGTGGATACCCAGATTTATTATTAGGGCTGTGGTCTCAGGCTCGACTTGTTGATTTTTTTGGATGATATGCAAACGAGCCTTGGTCAGAAAATAGCCGGTGTTACTCAGATAAGGAGACAACACTTTATCAAAAGCAGTCGAGGATTTATCACCCACACGGCTTCACGGCTTTGTACTTGGCCAGCTCGATAGAGACTGCTAGGTCAAACGTATGCAATGTTTACATTTGTTCAGCTTTAGCAGAGAGTGTACGCTGACTCAATCATATCATGTCAAAGAAGCACTCTGTGTGGGTGCGTTTTCGGCCAAAATGTCAAGTATAAACCTTTTCACAGTTCATCGCTGAAAAGTATGAACATATCATAAGTGTGCAGCAGAACTGTCATTTTTCAACTGTCATATTTTCACCTTGATTTGTTCTAGTAATCTTTTTTTTTCCTTTTTTTGACACGTTCATCCGGCCACAGCTGTACAAACTCCAGCGTCTATCAGTAGCAGCTGCTACACAGACCAAGCTGTCTCCCTCATTGGAAGGGAAAGTGATATCACAGGGGGAATAGCAGAATTTGTTATTGCTTTATTGCTTGTTTCCTCAGCAGCTCTTATGCTGAATCACCAGCTGATGTAGTTCTATTTTTGGATAACAAATGAATATGGGCAGGTGCTCAGTGATCGGATCTGGCCTGTGATCTTGTTTTTAGTCTAGCATAATGAGGTTAAAGAGATGTAACGCGATAGCATTGGGTCATAGTGGAGGATATCTTCATGTAATAACTGTAAATACTCACAGCAACAAAACAGTGTCAGCTGAGTTCTTCAGCTTTGTTCACCAAGATAGTGAATCAAAAAAAATTGTGCCCTACATTAAATATGTGTATTTTGGTCTTAGCTTACTTTGCTACTCAATCATTTTGGAGAAATCATCAACACCCCAGCAAGAGGAAAGTTAAACCACAAACACACCCTTTAAAAAGTAATGAGGGTGAATGGAGATTCAAAACATTTCACTTCCAAACATCACAGATGTTCTCTTATGAATTTTACTTGTTCAGAATAAATTTGAAGAAAGTTATTATCCAGAATGCCTTACATTAAAAAAAAAAGTAGTTAGCACACTGAGATCTTATTTATTTATTCATTTATTAAACATGTCTCAGATAATAAGAAGCATCCATGTCCTCAGGTGTGTTGAAGCGGTAATGTGTGCTCTAAATATCAGCTTTTCATAGCAATTGTATTTATAAAGCACATTTTATTATGTAAACTTAATGTGCTTAACAAAGAAGAGAAAAACATAAAAAAGATCTGTGAAGCTTTGCCTTAAGGCACAAAAGCAAAAATAAAATATAAGAAACAAATCAAGAGCTGCTTTTTATGCTTATTTATAATTCACTGAGGACAATAATTCTAGAAAATATGCTGCACTCCATACGCCAAACAATTAGTGCAGAGCAAGTGTGATTATTTTGTTTAGTACAGCTCTAAACTTCGCACATAAAAGAATAAATTCTTTGCTGATTTTAAATTTAAAAAAGTATTCTGAAATTGCTGAACAATTTTCCCACTCGCTCTTTCACAAAGTGGTAAAAGCCTCCCATCGTTACTTCTGAAACTATCAGCCTCTCTGGGATGCGCTTTCTTTTTATAGCCAATCATTTTACTAATTAGTCTAATTCCTTTTATTTGTTTTCATTACACAACCTTTCCAATCTTCCTGCCCTGACCTTTGCGGGCATTTAATGACTACATGATTTTCTCAGGTAATTTTCAGTTAGTTAACAGTTTTAATAATTTGGGAATGATGGCATCCTGATTTACACTGTTAAAAACATTATTTTAAACCAAGCTGCATCCTTTTTTGTTTGTGTCAGCATTTTGCCCAGTTGTGTGCAGGCAATCGTTTAGCATCCCGGCTGTGAAGGATATTTGCTCATTGTTTAGCCCTGGGGTGGGTTGTGTGAGACACCACAATATTTTATGTGCTGTTTTTTTTCTGTCCTAACAGAGTGTATCAATTCTTCTGACTGTGCATAATCTATCTGCCTCTCAGTGGAACGTAGCCAAACAGATCTCATCACAAGGCAGCTGCGAAACTTATTCTGGTCTGCTTGGGTGATGTAAAGTAGTGGGACTCTACAGCAGGAGGGCCAAGCCTCGGAAGACCAAAAGAGCTCATGTAGAAATATAAAAAATCAAAAGATGCTAACACTTTTAGGAATAATAATTTGTTACAAAGTAAGTTAAAGTGCAAACAGAAGACGAACTGTCATGACAGCACTGATAATATGACAAATTCAGGTCATAGTCAGCCCAGAGGACAAGCAAAACATGAAGACAAGATAGTCTTTGCACAGACAATGACTCACTAACTTATGTCTCTTTGGGCATGTTATATCCCACTCCTTACATTTCTCAAACTGCTCTTCTTTTATTGTGCTTGTCTTTTTTTCTTCTTTGCCCACTTTTGATTTAGTTCTCTCTTACTTTGAGTATTTTTGTCTGTTCACTGATGTAGCACTCTTTTTCTCCGTCATCTGTCTGCTTCTCTTTTAGGGTGACTGAGCACACATCAGTGTTTTCAGCAGGTGAAAAATACTGTTAGCAGGGCACTTTTAAAGCACTGCATGCTTTCCAACACCTTCTGTTTCTTTGTCACAACTTTATCAGGTCTTAAATATCTTATTTTTCCAGAGCTCCAGACTGTGACTGGTCACACTTTACCGTCAGAGGAAATAACAGTATCAGACACACATTATTGTTTTATTTCTGTCCCAGGGTGTTTTCTGTCTATTTCTTACTTTGTATCTGTGATGTTAGTTTTCCATTGTTTTTACACATTAGAGAGTGTTGCAAGTTATCTCATATCAGTGTAATATGCACAAGAGCTATGCACATTTGTTCCCCAGTCCAGCACTTGCACTACCACCTGAGAATCTTGGCACTAGAGCCAACTTTCTGAGACTGTAAACTGGGGCTTTTCTTTCAACAGTGAAAAGCAACCTAACAATAAAAGAAGTCCTTAACTGTCGAGGCGTAAGTACATTGCTGTTACTTTTATACTTTTATACCAGAAGCTGTCATTTGAAGGGGCTGAGGTGTGTTCGGATTTTTATCAGGCAGAAACAAAGACGTCCTAGCAGACAAAAAGATGCTTCTGTGTGCTTTTTTGTTTGTTTTTGTCTGATATACATCTACACATTCATTTGCACACACACCCCCACACACACTTCCTTCACAATACATCAGTGCCATCTGCTCTGGACAGACATGTAAAAAAAGCGTTCTTTTGTATTCAAGCTCCAGACGGGAGTGGTGGGTGGGGGTCATTGTTATACTGCTCATGCCAGGTGCTTCAACTGTATTTTATTTTGGGAACTTGGCTAACGGTTGAAACACAGAAACACACTCAACCTACTGCTTTTTCTAATAATATACGACAATGTGTCTCCACAGTCTTGCATTCTCAGTCCCACAGTTGTTGCCTTATTTTTCTCCTGTTCTTATATGCACACGTGACAAATTAAAGGAAAAACCATCATAAATTGTTTTAATAAGGTGTTGGGTCACCACATGCCTACAGAGGAGCTTAATTGCAACATGACATTAATTCAGTGAGTCTCTATATCTCTTCCGTGGGGAATTAAACATCACTCTGCCAAAGGATAGCCCCTCACATGATGGTCGTTCATCTAAAGTCTCACATAGATCTTCAATTTGGCTGAGAGGTATTGGCTGTGAAGACAGTATGTGATTCATATTAACTTTATACTTATTTCTCCAATCAGTGATCCTTCATGATCTACGGAAGGGGGGGCATTATAATTTTGAGAGAGACCACTGCCATCAGGAAAGGAATGCTTCATGATAGGTTAAAAGGGATCAATTTGAGCAATCTTGCATTAATTTATAGTGACTCTACCCAGGAAAGATACACGTGAATCTTAACAGTGTCATCAAAATACCTCCTACGACATATCAGAGGATGACCTTGCTGTAGGCGTTCAAGGATTAAGGGTTTTTTCCTTTAATTTGACACTGGTGTGTATTGTGTCATCGTATCTATTTCATTCACTGCAGAGTTGAAGATCAAAAAGAAGAAGAAAAAGATGAAACAGACCATCAAGACCAGACACGTGTAGTGCATCACACCTGCACATACACATGCACACACCTCAGAATACTTTTCAGTCCAAACCCAGGAGAAGAAGTGGCATGTTATTTCCTTGATTACAACAATTAATCATTTTTACATAAAATAAAAACAAATGCAGCAACAGTCACATCTAGATCATACTGATATTTTGTTCAATACCTTGAACTTTTTAATACCCCCCCAATAATATAGATTATCGTTTTCTGATCAGCTGACTGTTTCTTGCCTCAGTCTCTGTCCTCACTGTTCCTACTGCTTGTTCCTTGGTTGTATCCTCTTTGTCCACACTCTTTGTCACCCCAATACATCATCTATTAAGCATACATTCAAGGTTACAGTCACACAAATCCATAAACTCCCAGTCCATGACAGACAGCAAATAAGATGACATATTAGGGCAGAAAGCCCACACATGAACTGTAGGTGTACAAAGCATG